GGCCTCTCGGATCTTGCGTTTTCTCGTACGATGCCAGCGAAACTTCTGGGAAGGTACCACGTCCACGGTCTTATCCTGGAAATTATCATGCATATACTGGACTCCGGACTAGGTGTGTTCCTCTAAGTCCTACCAATATGACAAAGTTGCGAAATAAAGGTCAAACAACCTCTATAATTAAGTATTGTTCCTGTTTAAAATAAAATGATAATTACAGCTGTTCTGCCCTTTACTCATATCCAAAACATATAGATTGATCTTGTCTTTGTGTTCTCTTTTTTGCTTTTCCATTTAGCTATTTTTAATGTAAAGCACTTAAACTATTAAAGTGATTTTATAAAATGAAAGCGGATTTATTTCAAAATTTAAATAATTATATATTCCCTAAGAACTTTCGGCTAACCTAAATATAAAGTGTATTGTCACTAATTTTGTAAATATCATTAGTTGAATTAAATTAATAAATAACTTAATTATATGAAATGGTATAAGAATGATCTTGTTCACACATTGCTGAAATATATTTATTTTCTCAGAAGAATCAGACATAGCCTTGCTAGAAGGTTGTCTCGGGGTATTTGTCCATGTTAACCTAGGTTAGTCCTCTTTAAATGTGTCTCCTATACGCCCATATTGTTTATTTTATTGATGTTCCACAAGGTGCTTGTTCGTTTATTCTTCAAGCAAACCATTTTACATTAAGCACTTTATGTCTCTTTCTTTTAACCTATTATCTCCAATTTCCACACTGAAGTCCGAATCCTGTTAGTGCTACATGTCCTATTTATCAAGGGTTTGAATATTTATGTCTTATTATTACATATCCACCCTTGAGTAATACCATTTTTCATTCTTATCTCACTTTTCATTCTGCCTGAATCCTCCCTATCATTGAATATACTTTACTGATTAAACTTGTTCTTCTTTAGCTATTAAGCGTTTTTCATGCTAAATTTTCCATGATACTACTTTTACGTAAATGTCTACTCCTGGATGTAGTATTTGTTTTCCTAAGTTTTCTATTTTTCATCCTAATAGGTATATATTTTTAGGTTCATTGCTGGATAAATACATAGGTTGCTAAAATGCTTCTGTACTGCTGTGAATTTGAAAAGATCTCTTCGTATATGCCTTAAGCATCTGAGGAATAACCTTTCCTGATCAAATTGTCCTGAGCTATTTCCTGCTAGGTATCGGAAATATTTCGGACGCTTTAAAGCACTTTAATCATGGATTTGATTACCCGCTGGCTTCATGTCTTTTTTGGACTGATAGTTAAATGGAACCCAAGGTTTCCTTTTCTTAGAATGAATGCTATTCCTTATATTCCCCTCTTCGTATTTATCAAGGGTGAACTGTATTTTTTACATCACCTAAGTATACTCCACACCCTCTGTCTTAGTTTTTATCCTAGTTTGATGATTTTCTTATCATTTTCTAATTTTGTTATTTGTGGTCATACTTTAGTTATATTCATTTGCGTTCAAAGGATCAGTTTGTGTGCGTACACGCTTTTGCTACTCTAGAAACAAAATTAACTTTTTAATACTGATTTATGCTAAGCCCAATACTTTACCATGATCCAAACAAGGAATCAAAGCTTGGAAATACTTAAAAGTGAAAAATACAATGTAAGTGACTAACTGGTATTTGGCTAGGCTTACTTCACATAATTTCATTTAATCTGCTAACATCAGCTCACTTGGCATCAAATCACAAGCCCACATATTTATATGTTATTATTAAGCCGAACAATACAAATATTTGGGCTTATTTTCCTCGAAATGTATATTCGTACTATTCTCTAGATTTGTATTAAATGTTGTGCGTTACGGATTCGGGAACCGATTGGAAATTTCCTTTGGTTAGTTTGCCCGAAGAAGTCTTCCGAGCACCGTGTTGCGATTCCGATATATTCGTTATTCGGTTAGGCCAATTTGCACTGTATTTGGGCCGAATGAAAGGTCCAGTCTCATCATAGCAATCAACTGATTCGGGTTCTAGTTACATATAGTTTATCTATAGACAACTTGTGTTCCTGTAAGGTTATATCCTGATTCCTGAAAATGTTTATTGATTTCACCAAAATTCCCTATAAGTTCATCTTTTTATACTATTTGGACCAATTCTCTTTCGTATTTTTAATTTATTGTACAGCTCCAGATAAACTTAAGGTTATTTTTTTGGGAACAACCCATAAAAATTCCTAATTATAATTTTGTTCTTGCCGATTTTTTTGTGGTAAAAGTCTGATTTCAATCCTTTGTTTATTCAAGGCCACAATACTTTAGGAAAATAAATCTGAATTCAGTCATCACGCTTTTTTATATTGTTAATATAGAGTGAATTTCTCTTT